AAACAATTTGTTTTCGTAGTTTTCAAAAAACTTTCGGTATTGATCGCGGACGGGAAGAAGAAACTATTCTTTATTTGCACTCGGAATTTCACGTATCCAGCATCAACTTTTTTTGCAAGCCCATTATTTATGTAATAATTAACATACCGATAGGAAATGACCAATGAACATGATTTTGTAAAATATTGCAATTAGTATGTACCAGTTACATAGTTGGGATGCCTCACACAGCACGACGTTTGTTTATAAATATACACCCATGCTGGACACACCTCAGCAATGAGCAATTTAACTGTATGTTAAAGCTATGGGCTAAGAGTCGCGCATGCACATTTCCCGCGCCGACATAGACTCGCCAACTAACGTGCAATTGGCCATTTTTTCTCTCGTTTACACATGCGTTTGGCTCGACACTTTACATGTGCCTACAGTTAATATATATGAGCAATTCTTTAAAATAACGTAATATCAAGGGCAATATTGATTGGAATTTTCATAAAATATTTTCAACTATTTGATTTATATGGGTATTTTCAAATTTCAGCTCGAAACGCAAATCTATCCCGTTAACTTGAAGACAGGAACGCTAAAAAAGTAACAAACAAAATATCTATGAATGTTTTAATAGTTCAGGCATTTCCTTACGTTTTCAAAAACTCAATGAACCATTATCCACGTTCTCAACTTGCGTTCAACGACAATTATTTTAATCGCAATTTTGAACTTAAATTTTCAGCTTTGGTGATTTGTAGAAATTCTCATACATATTTAAATCAAAAAATCATTTTTTTGCAAAATCTACTGACATATAGATCTGATACGCGGGAAAACTGTAAACATAACAAAATCAGGACCCTGCCTATGTCAGATCTAGTGTTACATAAGTAATCGAAGCATACTCCTCGAGTATGATGTGTGCCATCGATTATTTGGACTAAAAAGTAATCTCAACAAATACACAAATTCAATTCATGATGTTAGAAAACTTTTTTAATGCAAGATCATTTTAACCCAAGAGTATTTTTAAGCAACATGTAATAACAATACATGATTATATCAAACCCTTCGAATGTGAGATATGTCATAAATCCTTTAGATATCAGAAAACTTTAAAAATTCACATAAATACAATACATAATCGGAGCAAATCCTTCGAGGTTGACCTTTGTCCCAAGTCATATATAAAAAATTTTCATAATGATTTTGGGAAATTATATTTTCTGAGCTATCCAAATCATCCAAAATCACTTTAGAACATTCAACTTTTTATAGATTCTCTCATATATATGCAATCAGCTAAACACATTGATTTGGAAAGATTTATCGATCGTACACCCAAGTTAATTCATGCTTCGGATATCGCAGGTACTATGAAATTGTTCAAGTCTCTTATAATAGCGAGGGAAATTGTCGCTTAAAACGGTAATTTGCTGCGCTGATACATGCTTATGTACAGTACCACGCACTAGTGTATGAACGGGGTTTATACGTATACGCGAGCGTATAAGTATAACTATAAGATTTGAGTTTGAAACCAAGCATATTTTCTGTGAAAGAGTCAGTGTTAGCGAAGGGATCCTCAAACGCACGAGTATATGAAAAAACAAAGTTGACTTTTGTCATTGCGCGCGATAAGTACGTACGAAGCTTCTCTTTAACGCGGACTGTCGCGCAGTGTTTGCTCGCTGCAAATTTTACATCGCACGTGCTCGCACGCGAGCAAATGTAAATATAGTCCCGAGGATAAGCAGCTCGAGCGCAGATCCAAGTCGTTAATACGAGAGCTCGCGCGAGCGAGTAAAAATCGAGGTCTATAGGTACGGTGCAAGTGGGCCTCGGCTCGCACTCCGTGCCGATTTCTCGCGCACTCGGCATATACATCTCGTGGAATGCGCGAGCAAAGGCCGGAATCAAGGTTGATCTTTGCAATGCTGCCGGGCGAGCATATCGCGCGCGCGAGAGTGGCCATCGGTGGCTGCTGCTGCTGTTGTTTCTGCTGCTGACGCGAGAGGCGATCATCGCGATCGCGTCTGTTTCTTCCGGCGCGCGCGCTCGAGCCGATGGATTCAATAATAGGCTATGAGCCGTGATTGAGAACGAGGCGAACGCGAAAAAAGGAGGATAGTAGGGGAACGACTATCGGATTGCAATTTTATTCACATTATAAATTGTAGCGACTGTACGCACACGCGTGCTCGCGTGCGTTAGCTTCCACGACGACGATTCGTGTTCGATTCGATGCTTAATAAAGGAATGGAGTAGGTTTTTTTCTTGTTTCACTTTTTACTGCCGCTCGTCGAAGTCTAGATAGATGTTAGCGAATGTATATACGCGAAACACGATTCGACTTTGACACGACAGTTACACGATACGCACAATTTTACCGAGAGGCACTTTCCAAAGTTTTTTACAGCTTTTACGCCAAACGCACATAAGAGTAGCTATTATATATAGAGTCGGAGACACTCGAGAAAATCCATGTAACTTGTACAAACAAGTAAACAAATAAGTACAAAGAAGTAAACGAACGAGCGAAATGAACAACTGCCATTTATTTTTGGCAAATTACTCAGACCTATTATTATTAGCGCTGGAGTCGAGTTCGTGCGTCGAATAACAGAGAAGAAAGGCCAGACTCTGCGCGTCCTGCCAAAGCCGAATAATAATAATAATAATAAAGAAGACAATATCTCGCAATCTAGTGCGAAAAAAATCAAGGATAGCACGTTCCCCGCGCCTCCCGCGCACCTCCCGGCATTATATATCAATTCTTGACTCGCTGCCTCGAGCACGCGCGTATTATAATGCGCCGTAATAATTCCCAACGGCTTGTGCGCAGGGCCTCCTCGGCTCTTCTCGGTGCGCGCGCGCGAGAATAAAATTTGCCTAAGCTCATACTTACAGCTCTGTCTCTCTCTCTCTCGTTCTTAGGCGCGATTTTCACCCCGTCGCTCCCGAATACTCGTGATAACGGCTGCGCGAATCCCTAATGCATTTGCTCGCTTGCTCGTCGCGGCGCCATATAATAGTAGTAGTCGCAGCAGATGCGCTCGGCGTAATCGAGCGGTTATTATGCTCCATTCCGGGGCGCGCAATCCGCTCGCTTGCCTTATATCCTATGGGCGCGCATACAGCCGCGGTAAGTAAGGACGAGTAGCGAGCCACGTACTTGGCTTTCGTAGCTCAGGATTATGAATTTTCGGCGAGACTCGGCTTTTTCTGAAACTCCCCGTGAGCGGAAAAAATCGCTCCTTTGCACCCACGGGCAACGTTCAGAATTTTACGAGGCGCAATCGGAGTCGCGTGTAGCGCAACGAATACGCATACAGAAAGTCGCCGCATCTACGAATTTGGTAAGATATTTTTATTGCGCTTTTGTGCGAGCGGCTTTCCTACGCAGCGACTATAAAGAGATACAGAACCCGGGCGACGTGTGTGCGAGCAGTAATAGCCGTTTATAAGCCTTAATTACAGGCACGCGAGCTAGCCATACGGCATAAATGTGCGTTTTACCCAGCTTTGAGCAAACAATAGTAGACTTTTCTTAAGCAATATGTATACGGCGTATTATACAGTGCGGGCTGAAGCGCAGCACAGTGCAGCTGCATATACGCACGATCTTTGCATTCTTTGGCTATTATCCTTAATTGCCACATCGCCGCGAGCGTGCGTGTAAAATTTTGTTACTTTCCATGCGACGAGGATAAACAAAAAGCATGCATATAATAAGAATCAGTGCGCAACGCAGTTTGAGTGGCATCGCAGCGCGCGAGCTCGAAGTCTTTTCATTATAAACGTCGTTTCGCGAGCTCCTCTCCGTGATCACTGGCGAATTATTTTATTAACATGTAAATATACGTATATCAGTGATTGGCTCGGCGAAAAACGAGACGCACCGCGAGTCATTAATCGTCCTGCAGGTATATAACGAATGTATAAAAGGGATCTCCGCTCGTGTGTTTGCTGCTTCGACGCGGAACGAAAGTAAGAATATATCGCCGAGGAATGAAAAGAAAAGAAACTGCGAGCAGCGGTGGCGGCGGCAGCAGCAGATCGAGTTGTGCATGCGCTGCGTTCTGGGCGCGCAACAAGACGCATCATCGAATCGAATTAGGCTTATGCGCGCCGAATAAGCGGAGGTGCTCGTGCAGCAGCAGGTTCTGAGTAACCTGTTTTCACTTTTCGTTCTTTTGGACGAGATATAAAAAAATGTAATAATAAAGATGCGCGCGACGTAGCTCGCTCGAGCATTCCTAAAAGCAGCTGTACAAAAATTCAGTCGAAGCTCGAGAGCGACCGATATTAAAAAGCTTGGGCTGCTGCAGCAGTAGATAATTTGCTCGTCATATAGAAAAGCTTAGTGGGTTGGAAAAAGCGCGGCCGATATATCGCGTGTACGTGTCTTGGCGCATTCCTCGCAACTTACCTTAATGCCATTAGCGCGCATACGAACACACATTCGCGCGTACATATAGTAGGCCTGCTCGCGGCCAAGAAGCTGAAAACAGGCCGCGAGTGAGCGGACTTATGGTCTCTCTTTCTATGTACCGACTACTCGCGCGAGCCTCTGTCTCTTTTCCGTACATACGTATTATACCGCATTCGGCTTATAATGCACGCGCGGCTCCGCTCGACTCCGGAGTATATATCCGATCTTTGCAGTCCGCCACTATATACCATACTGCTGCGTTATATACATGTATATATAGTGTACGCGCAGTCTGCAGGTTCACCGCCCGGTATACATACACACAGCTGAACGTGTATATACATACAACGCGCAGGCAGAGCACGGCGTCGCGCACTCGCAGTCGTATATAGAGAGTAACAGCGGCGGCGGCAGCGGCGCGAAATCTCCGAGAGAGAGCGAGAGAGAGAAGCCGGCAACAGCAGTCCGAGTCCGACTCCGATATCGTAGCAGCGGCAGTCAGTCGCTTCGCGCGCTTCCACCTGGTCGGACCGATGTTTTTCAAACTCAGTCGATTTTTCGCTGTTTATTGATGCTGTTGTGTGTTGTTTTTTTTATCGGGTGTGCTATCTATCGAAAAACAACGAAATTTTCTGCGACATCTGTGCCGATTTATCGTGCGTCGAGGCTTGATTCGGGGGAATTGATTCTCCAAAATTGATTTTTGACAACTCGAGTGTGAAGTGTACGATTTGAAAATCGATAATTTTTAGTGAGCTTCTGCTTGTATCTCTCTGCTTAAAAGCGGACGTCGAACATCGAATTCGCCGCGAGAGATCAATCGGCACTTTGTGCTTTGGTAAGTTTCTGCGAATAATGCCGTTTGCATGTGCGAGCGCCGTTCGCGCAAAAGTGCGCAAGGTGCAGTACGCCGCCGGAGAGAGTAAAAAGGATTAGAAAGTGCAGCGGTATAGGTACACGCAGAGTGCATTTCGCGCCTCCGTATTGCGGATGATTACGCGCGCATCTACGTGCATTAGCGTATACCATATTAACCGAAGAAAAGCATTACACGTGTACGTCAAGGCTTCTTCGTATAGGTATGCACGTTGTAATGGAAAAACAAGAGTGTTGCATTACCCCGAACTTTGGGATTTCTCGAGCGCGCGCTACGGCCGGGCAAAATCGTGACTATCGCGCGCCGCACCGTGTAAAATAATAACCGCGCGACTCGGCCGAATAACTGCATAAGTACGTAATTAAGAGGAATCGCGCGCCAGACTATCGTTATTTTTTTCTCTCTCTCTCTCTCTCTCCCTCTCGATTCGCCATTATTGTAAACATGCAGAGCGAGGCGCGCGATTGGGAAATCATCCACCCACTTCGTTTGCGCGCACCCGCTCGTTACCGATTCAAAAGCGCATCCCGTGGAAATAATCGTTGAAAAAATTCCCGAGGCAGAGAGAGAAAGACAGAAAAGTTTCGGCGTACACATTTTTATTTGCTCTCCAAGCAGCACTTTTTATTTTCACCGCTGGTCAGAGCCGTGTATTTACTTTGATAAGAAAAACACACACACACGATGAAGATTTGACGCGTGAATGATTAGTCAAATTCGATTTCGACGAATGTCAGGCGTTAACAATTTATCAAGCTCATAAGTTTCACTGTATTACAATGGTAACGAGTCCGCGTTTGAAATAATGCGCTCACGCATATAATAAGCATTGAATATCTTATAATTAACAATGAATGGCTCTTTCGTCATCGCCCATTGTTGGTAGATTAAAATACTTGAGAGAATAAAGATAAAATTGACTGCAAAGTCCCTTTTACGATGATTTTCATTGAAATAATATCGAAAGCTTCGTGACTGCTGCAACGACAGTGTTATTCCAGAGCCATATGAAGCTCGGCCAAAAGCGAACGTCATTGGATTCACATTTTTCAACGATAATTCCACCTTTATTCGATCGTGTTTACGAAGAATATTGAATTAATGACTTTTGATATGCTAATTAAACGTTTATAGCCCTTTGCTAATGGGCTGAGATTTATTTTTCACGAATGCACTTGTTCGTTTATGCATAAATGCATTTTCGATGTACAATTATTTTTAAAAACAAGAGTACAACAGCAAGAAATCGTTTGTTCAAGACTCTCTTAAGCTCTGTGGCGGGTAATTTCTTGCCGAGGTTTATTCAAATTCTTTATAATCCATTTCACAGCTCTTCTTCAGTACTCGGCCGTTCATCTTGATAAAACAACTCCGCCGAGGTTGAAAATGAGTAATAAAACATCGTTAAAAGCTCGCAGCCTCGAGAGAAAAGTAGTCAAAAGCATGTAAAAATCCAAGCTCCGCAATTTTAGAGAATAAGGACAGATCGAGATATTCGCGTTGCATCTAGATCACGAAAATGTCCCGAGCAGTAGTGGTGGATTTCAATTCACACCGCCGGTCATATCGAGCTCCAATTTGTTGGCGGTATTAGCAATTTGTGGGTGAATAGCCGAGCCGAGTCATGTGCATATTTTTCTTTTTCTTCGCTATCTACGTCCACGAGCAATGGACGAGTAATTAGGTGCGGGATAGCTTCGACGTGTACGTGCTTCGGTGCAGAGGGTATCGGGCAAAGAAAAAGCGTTTTTATTTGATAAACAGCCACTTAATGTAATGAATATCGCGTGGCCAGGGTCCGGTCCGAGCAGCGTAATAACAGGATACAATTTGTTACGGAGCTTTGATAGATGAGATTTTTGGCTGGAATTTATTTTGCTCCGCTTTTTTTCGGGGCGAAAATATTTTTCTTCTCTAAAAGATCATTCATTTATCGAAGATTTATGTAACGGGCAAAGCAGCATCGCAGCTTCGAAGGCAGGTTTTTCTCCGTGCATGCGAGACACTATATATTCCGCACTGATACCGTAGGAAAGGGACGGGTTTAATTTTTCAATTACGCAATTATACGCATGTAGCGAAAAATGTTAGACTGCGGCGCAGGCTCGAATTCGTTCGGTGCATATAAACGCAGGTCGCGAGCGACACAACCTGCTACTAATCTATCAACTTGATTAAACGCACTTTTGGGGTGATTATTCGACGGACAAATTGCCACGTTAGCCGCGAGATCGCCGAGGAATTTTCTCATTGCAAAGCTTTTATTTACAAGGCGCGCGTATAATCGCTCCAAACGTAAATGTGTGATTATATATATAGGCGCGTTGCAGTCTGAGTATTAATCAAATCTCGCCCGTTTCTCTTTCTTGGGCGCTGAAAATCGAGCGAAAAGTTTGTGACGGAAGTAATCTAGAAAGCCACTCTTTGACTCTCTGCAGCTCTTTTCTCTCTCTGTCTCTCTCTCTCTTGCTCGCGCACACATCGTCACGAGGCCAAGAGCCGAGGAAAAGTGCACATCTCGTGCCTATAGGCCGGGGATGATGGGATAGGTTGAAACTTTTGCCAAGTCATCGTCGTTTTGTTGTGCATCGTCGGGTCTTGTAAGTGGCAGTTGGAAAAAAAGCAGCAGTAGTGTAGTAGATATTTAATGAAATCAAAAAGGCGCGTGCCAGGTACTCGTTGTTTTGATTGAAGCATCGGTGTATACCTTTCAGCTGCACCTTACCCATAAATCATTTTTCAATATTTTAATTGAAAATAGACAGACGCACGGGTATCGCTTACTTTTTTCAATATAAAACTAGCTTCGATGTAGTCGAGCATTATTGAAATTAGTCCGTAATGGAGAATGAACGGTACATAGGAGTAATACGACACTGACATATTTTCGAAAGATTGTTGCACGTTTATAAATAATAATTTCACCTGTAAATGTAAGTTTATAAGTATATTACATGTTATATATATAGGGTAAGCCGATACGAAAGAATCAAGCGTAACCGAGAGTTCGGAGATAAGTATCGGCTGCTGCTGCTGCTGCTGCCGCCGCCGATTCCACGCGAAATATCAGAGAGAAAAAAAAGTACACGGCTCGATGATGCATGTACCGTTATCGAATGCGGAGCATCCTCGCCATGGTCCCCCTAGCAATACACACATACACACACATACACATTCCGTTCTCGCGCGCTCGCGTTTTATTTTTCGACAGAACGAGAAGAATATTTGCTTGGCCCAGAAAAGTTGTGTAATTCATTTAGCTTTTGTACTGCAGGCAGTCCGCGAGCTTTGTGTGTTGTGTGTATATACACGCTCACGCTATAGCATAATAAGTATATACTCGCTCGGCAATATTACAGGCTAGCTTTTCGAGGAATGATGAAAAAAAAAATAATAATAATAAAAAAAGTGAGGAAAAAGGATCGGTATGCCGCTGGCGTATGATACGCGCATGGACGTAAACGAGCGCGACACAAAGACATTACTCAAAAACTTTTGAATGTTCCGTTGAATTGGCAGGAAATTATTAAATCACGCAGGTGTAAGCCGTATCAGTACAAATCCACACGCCAAACCCGTTCTCTCTCTCTCTCTCTCCAATAGGTTCATTAATCCTGCCTATGTGTACGTATGTGCACGTATGCGTATGCTGCGTATCAGTATATGCTTATGTTATGCATTATGAGCGCGCAGCATAGCATACGTGCACGCATGGGGGGAGCTGCGTTAAACGCGCCACCGCACCTACTCGATGTGCCCCGCCGACCGCAGCAATCGTTTAGCTGCACTATACGCGTATTATATATTATACACTCGAAAATATTGAGTTACATGCCTTTAATTAGTTTTCCGTGTGCCGCAGAGCCAACTGCCAAAAGAGAGTAAAAACCGTATGGATATACGTATGCGCGTACTCGCGTATCTCGATTGTTACATAAGATGCGTGCAAATTAACATTCTTTGGCAGCAACAGAGCAGCTGTTTCGCGTTTAAGCCGTTTCCGATCGCAATGCCATTATACGCGAACATTGCCGATCGAGCTTATCGCGCAGCACGAGCCATCGATAGCTGCGAGAGAATTGAGTTTTGTCTTCTTTTTTTTCTCTTCAACTTCATTGCATCTCGTGTACCGCACGCGCGCGCGCAGGCTTAAGATAAGCGAACCGTTACTTCTTAAGCGATAGTGCAGTTATTATAACATTTTTATTCTGCAACACTATTGTGCGATAGGGCTGTGCAGGAGGGAGAAGAAAAAAAATTAATCGGCTCCGGTGCGCGACGCAGCGATCGATGACATAATAATAGCTTATGGACACTATCGAGAGAGTCCATTGAACTAGTATAATTAATCGGCGGCCTATCGCGTCCTTACGATCTTGCGATTATTACTGCGGCACGAAGCGCAACGCTGCTCCTGGACAATGCAATTATATATAGGAGAGCGTCGAAAAAAGTGGACGAAAAAAAGTAAGCCCGAGCGAGAGAGCGCAGTAGGCCACGCTCGAGCCGCGAGGGCGTGTATTTATGCGCGATCGAGTCCACTGCTGCTGCTGCTACTGCTCGGATCGCGTGCGGATTTATATACGCGTATTATCAGCCGGGAAATAAGCCGAGAGCCTCGTGTCGGCGACTTATGCTTCGGCAGCTCGCAGTCCGCAGATAAATCCTGAGCCAGCGAGCAGCAGCAGCAGCAGCGCGGCCAAATGCAAGAATCTTGTCTCGGGCGTAACGGTTTAAACGACCGATGTAGGTAGTATTTTGAATAAGCAACAGCCAAATCGAGGTTCTGGCTCTCGATGCTAATACCTGGCTAGGGGTCTACACTGCTTGGACTGCAGTACTACTGTAACACGCTATCTCGAGCAACTGATACCGCTGCGCTGCGTGCCAGTGTCTACCGAATTACCGCCTATCTGCAATCGCCGTGCTGTCGATGTAAAACTTCTTCGACTTCTTATGGC